ATTTGGCCTTGCAGTCGATGTCGATGGTTTGCCTGAAGTTACCCATGATCTTTTACGCTTAGGATTCTCAAAATATATCCACTTTTCATCGCCAGTCACAATTCGATAGAGAAATGACTTTCTTTTGTACCTCGCGAGCCGCATTTCGCAAGTGGTTTTTCGGTTTTCGTGCTGTCTTTCATTCAATTCATGTGGGTCCCATTTCCCCATCTTCTGGATCTTTCCCATGGCTTTCAAACGTATGGAGACAGCTTCTCGTGTCACATTTAATTGATCCGCGAGTTGTTGTTGCGTTTGATTGCGTTCATCCTCATCCAACAATGCTTGCAATTCGCTGTCCTCAAACTTTTTCGATGGTCTTCCACGTTCTTCGTTTCTCACGTAAAAATCGTTACTTTTGAATTTTTTAAACCACTCAAAGCACTGTGATTTACCAAGAGCATGTTCACTGTAAGCTTCGACAAGTATTCGATGCAATTCTGTAGCAGTTTTCTTCAAATGGTAACAGAAAATCAATGCTGTCCGCAAATCATAGCTTTCATAGCAGGCATAAAATTCGACATGTTCAACGCTATTATGCTGTAACTATACTGTTGTATGAAACTTGTATTGTTGTGAGTTGAAAATCTTTGTCAGATGTCAACAAATGGAAATGGCGCCAATGACGCAGTTTGGCGGTAACTACATTAACAGCTAGGGCCATCTATAGGCAAATTCCGGTTTCATATTTACAGACCTCGTATGTGTACGTGCTTATAATACGTTCGTACAAAAAAAGTCATGCATATTAATCCGTTTAATGTTATTGCGTTGCTTCAGGCATTGTTTAAAATAGAAGAGAAGCAAGATACGTTGATGAATATTTATAAAAAAAAATTGAAAGATAATTTATTGAATGTTATATAGCACTGTGTATAGAAGATACCGTACTTATTGCGGAGCAAGAGACATACCTGGACATTGATAAATTTAAAATTGTAATGTTTCTATATATGTATATGTATAATATGTTAATATAAACTCACATGTATACTTCTCTCGTCTGTTGTATCAAACACACTTAAAAATAATGAGATGTGAAATATATGTTATAAATAAAAAAAATGTTCCGCGTCCCGCGTTTGTGTTAATAATTTCTGAATTATTTTATATTATTATATTAATTAAAATGCGTTCAAAAAATGTGTCTAATAGATATTCGTTATTTGCGTAACGATGTAGCGATTAATAGAAAATTTGTTGAGACTTGTGAGGAAAGCGGGATGGAGAATTGTTTAAATTTAGGTTATCCGACCGTGGAGAAGGTACCGGTACATTCGCGGGTTTTCGTAGAGGTTTAGTTAGGGAAATTTTCTTTGAAAATGCCCATGTTCGTCGTGGAATGATTGCCTTTTGGGAACCGGTTTCTTGACAAATGCGGAGTCCAGCATGCGGGAGGCTTCAGGAATTTCGCAGTCGAATGGGAAAACTATCACTTGTGCGAGGATTAGATAGGAAAAAGACAAATACCGGAGAGGCTGCAGCCTTTCTTCTTGCGGCATTCCGAAAAGTTAGACGATCTTCAGAAAGAGAAGGCCGAATTTACTTCTGGCCGAATTTACTTCTGAACTCAATGATATATTTTCGGATCTCAGCTGGAAATTGTGATGTGGGAAAACATCGGATTGATTTATTGGACAACCGGCCGATTAAGCAGAATCTGCGACGAGTTCCGCTAAAGATGGGAGCCGAAGCTGAAAAGCTCATTAACCGTTTGAGTCCCAAGCAGCGCGATCGCGCTGTTCAGATTTTATGTCGAGAAAACCCAGTACATTTCGATCATTGTGGACAACTGACGGTGCGTTACCGATTGTCGAAGTCGCGCGCTCAGATTTACTGAAGCAAGTATATCACACCGATCCTTTTAATGTAAATAGTACATTTTATAATAGGTAGAATAATACTATAATAATGCAATAATACATTACAAAATAAAAATTTTTATTTCATTGTTATCTTCTCAATAATTTTTATCGAACAAAACTTGAAATATTTATAAATTTACAGTACGCATATGTAATAATACAGATGTATTTTATAAAATAACGAATTACAAATTAACAATATTTTTGTGTTATGAACAAATAATTTAAATGGAGAGTAACAATTATAATTTGTAACATCGGTGTTTATCAAAACATGTTGGATGGATTCCTTTTGCTTCCGTTGCTTCGTCTAATCATTTTGAAACACACAATTATTAACAATGAGAAACACTTACGCAAGAATACGTCCGATCGCTTTGCAAACTACAATAAATGTGACAGAGCGATGAGAAAAAGACGAGAATCGCGTTACCTAACAAATACAAGAAGCGGTATTGGTCCGATTGGGATTCATCGATGTAAAATAAACAAAGCGCTATCGCGCTGCTTGGTATTTCTCGACTTAAAATAAAACAAGCGCTATCGCGCTGCTTGGGTCTTTTCATACTCATTTATAGAAAGCGCGGTTGCGCTGTTTGGGATTCTTCGACAGTGTTTTTTCAATACCCCCTGGGACTCAAACGGTTAAGGAGATGCGGGAAAAAAGAGTTACTGAAGAATTGCATAGCCCTTGGCTTTCGCCTGTGGTCTTGACCAGAAGTCATGCAGATTCTGTGTGGATTATCGACGTCTCAATGCAGTCACCGTCAAGGATTCTTATCCATTACCACGAATGGATGATTTGCTTGATCAATTATCAGGAAACGTATGGTTTTCGACGATCGATCTGAAGAGCGGATACTGACAAGTGAAACTTCGTGATGGGGACAAAAAAAAGACAATTTTCTCTATTAAGAAAGAGTTGTGGCAATTTACTATTATGCCATTCGGGTTGTGTAATGCATCAGCAAATTTTGAGCGGATGATGGAAGAAATTTTATATAGGCTTTTATTTAAAGTTATAAACGTCAAAGAAACTCCTTGTAATCCTTACAGTATACATATCTGCGCGGGGGAGGGGTTCCGCCCCTCCCCCGCACCCCCTCTCCAAAAAATAACCCTAACCTAACCTAACCTAGCCTAACATATCTATTGAAATATGGTAAATTATACATTCTTATATTGTTTTTCATTTAGGTTAGGTTAGGGTTAGTTTTTCAGGGGAGGGGGTGCGGGGGGATGGGCGGAGCCCCTCCTCCCGCACATATATGTATACTTTTTTCTTTTACGAACTTTTCACATAATTACTTCTATATCCAACAAATCTGTTGCACTTATGTAACTTCTTTGCATAACTTTTTAATAAACAATGAGCAACGGCTAATATATAATATAACAATAGTAAGAAGATTAATAATGAATATCGAGCACGACGAAGCGCGCGAAACATATAAACGTACCAAAGACAGGTCTTTTCTGATTCCAGATCATCATTATAAAATCAACTACCACTGTTACTTCTCACGTCCAATGGAGTTATAAAAATTTTGGTAAGCGCCAATAGGCACTTATTTATTTTTTGACTTTTCACCTTGAAAATGATTTTGTCGCAAATTTTGAATGAAAATAGGTTGTGAGGAAAAGACGATTCTATACATATATATCTATATATAATATATATATACATATTTATATAAAATATATATATATATATATGATTGTGACGTAAGTGGACCTACAATGACATTGAAAAGGAAACGTCCAATGTATGTCTGTTTTCATAACAAAGTCGAGGTTCATACTCTATAAACACATATCTTCTATTACACATTATCTTACATACATACACACACTGCATGTGTGTATGTATGATACAAGATATGTATATGTATAATAAGTTAAATAAATATGTATAAAGTTTAAAGTCTTTATCATTGTTTTTCTCAGATGACATTATTTCTATAGTAAAAATGCATGAAACAAAATCTATATTTTGAAGAGACTTACAATTTTTACTTGAAACATTTTTTGAAATTTCCAATATTTGATAAAATAATTGACAAAAATGTTAATTTTTAATTTTTGTTAATAATTTTTTAATGAAGAACGAGCGACGGGAAAAGTTTATTTAGCTTTGACATCCTTAAGGGTCAAGGTTAACATCAAGGTCAACCGGAGGTCATTTCACGCGGGCTGTGTAAAGGTGAATATTTAACGCTGTTGTTTATTACATATAAAACTTGATTCATCACACAATCTTTGGAATAAGTCTAGATCTGGAATAAACATTTTTTTATCGTGAAACATTATTCCAAAAAATAAGCAAAATACATTCCTATAATTTGAAAAAAATAAGTTTTAATTGAGAATCAAAAATTTCTTTTATTACGAAAATATTCAAAAGATAAAAAAATATGTGAATTGAATAAATAAAAAATGTATAAAAGGAAGAAATAAATAAAATAAATAAAACAAGAAAATAAAAAAAAACAGAAAAATAAAAAAACAAAAAGTTTAAAAATTAAAAAAACAAAAAATGGGACTAAATTTTGCCATGTCTACGTCATTAGCTTTGGGTTTAGCTGAGAGCGAGAATAAAAATATTGCAGCCAAAAAGACCGATTTTCAAGGCAAATTTAGCATTTTTCAAATTTCGGTCCGCGATATTTGATCTGTCATATTGAATTTTGCAAAACTGACTGCAGATTTGTAATCAGCGACCCCAAAAACCTCTGTATACCAATTTTCAAGGAAATTAAAGCATTTTTTAAATTTTGGTTTGCCATATTGGATCCGCCATATTGAATTTTGTTAAACTGACTTCATATTCGTGATCAATGACCCAGAAACCTCTTAAGTACGAAAATTCTGAAAATTTGACTGCAACGAAAAATTTGTGCATCAAAGGCTTAAGATAAAGAAGAACTATGAATACGGGTAGTATCGTAGTAGTCGAACTTAGTATTTAAAGGAATCAGACATTTCATATTTAACGACCTAAAATATATACACATATTAAGAGATAAAGTAAAATTAATTATATATACAATTATTGATAGATAAAGAAAAGATACTTATCATCAATCGCTTGTTTACCTGAAGGTAAATCATCTCGAAGTTCAGTCATTATTAGTGTCATTTGTCTCGGCTGTAGATGCAATAACGACGTTCGATAAGTCACTTGACCTAAGTTAGCAGGAATCGAATCCGCCAAGCCATGAAATTTAAATTTAGTGCCCCAAATATTTGACGTTACTTCGACTAGTCTCGCATACTGTGAACAAATATTAGAAATCCCCATGCAGTATTGACATGAATAACGCTCGCTCCTTTAGAATACAAAAAGTTCGCACATTATATAATTTATCAAATCAAACGAAAAATAGTGATTAACCCATTAACGCCCAAAAATCCTAAAATATTAGCCTTACTTTGCAACTATATTTTATGTAGAGAAACATATTATATAAGGTTGGAATAGCATTTCCTTATGTTTTCGGGCTCGTTCTACAAGATTCCGACATCAGAATTCGTTAGGATTCACAATAAAATCCAAAATGGCGGAATTTTTGGAAAAAAGTCGTGAAAAATCGACAATTTTATTTTTTTTAAGCTTAATTTCGTATCAAAAACGTTACTTTGATACAGATACAAGTGTCACATCTTGTCTCAAAAATGTTGAACTTTCAAGATGCATTGGTGAAAATGTGAATTCAAGATGGCTGCTTCAAAATGGCGGTTTGAGCGAAAAAACTTAAAAAATAATGTATTTTTAGAATAACTTCGCAAAATCCTAGTATTTAGCATCAATTTAGTATCCAGGGTATTAATTTTAGGATATTTGCTGACAACTTCATATTAGAGAAATTCAAAATGGCGGATCCAAGATGGCGACTAAAAGGCACAAATAATCGTGAAAATTTCCAGATTTTCATGAATTTTCTTCTATTACTTTCATATTCATGAATTATTTTCGAGACGTACACACGCACATATACAGGGTGGGTAATTATAAACTTACAAACTTTATAAAAAACATAAAAAACATCGAGATAAGTACAATGGATGGGAAAAAATTGAAATCGATTACATAAAGTTTTGAAAAAAATTATTAAATAAATAAGCGAATAAATGCGCAGTGGTCGAACATCACGGGCCTGCTACACCACACAGCTTGGACCCGATTGACAAGTAACAACGGCGAACGCCGGTTCGCTGTTGTTGCCTGCTAATCCGGTCCAAGCCGTGCGGAGTAGCATGCCTGCGATGCCCACAACGCATGCCCACTGCGCGTTTATTCGCACATTTATTTAGCAATTTTTCTCAAAACTTTACGTAGTCGATTTCTATTTTTCCCGTCCGTTGTACTTATCTCGATGTTTCTTATGTTTTTCATAAAGTTTGTAAATTTATAATTACCCACCCTGTAAATGTGCGTGTGTATGTCTCTAAAATAATTCATGAATATGAAAATAATAGAAGAAAATTCATGAAAATCTGGAAATTTCCACAATTATTTGTTTTAGTCGCCATCTTGGATCCGCCATTTTAAATTTCTCTAATATGAATTAGTTGTCAGCAAATATCCTAAAATCAATACCCTGGATACTAAGTTGATGCTAAATACTAGGATTTTACGAAGTTATTCTAAAAATACATTATTTTTTAAGTTTTTTCGCTCAAACCGCCATTTTGAGGCAGCCATCTTGAATTCACATTTTCACCAATGCATATCTTGAAAGTTTAACATTTTTGAGACAAGATGTGACACTTGTATCTGTATCAAAGTAACGTTTTTGATACGAAATCAAGCTTAAAAAAATAAAATTGTCGATTTTTCACGACTTTTTTCCAAAAATTCCGCCATATTGAATTTTATTATGAATCTAAACGTATTCTGATGCCGGAATCTTGTAGAACGAGCCCGAAAACATAAGAAAATGCTATTCCAACCTTATATAATATGTTTCTCTACATAAAATACAGTTGCAAAGAAAGGCTAATATTTTAGGATTTTTGGGCGTTAATGGGTTAAAATAACATATTCGAAATATATTCGCGCTTTGAATAATAAAGGACTAATACTTTAAATATCAGAAATAGTTCATAATATGATTAATAATTCAATTTTTTTTTCAGTTTTTAGTTATAGGAGCCTTAGAACTTGTTGAATGATAACTTTTATTTTTCCGAGATACACAGTGTGTTCCAAAAGTCCCGAAACTTTTTTATTACCGACAGTACATATCGCACCATTGTCGTATCGATAGTGAACTATGTAGAAGCCTTGTTTATATATATCTGTACAGCGCAAAAATTCGCTCGACAAAACCGATTGTGTGTTTTTTACCCTCGTCACAAAATGTCGATCGAGAAAAGAACGAACATTAAATTTTATATAAAGTTGAGGAATACGTTTACCCAAATGTTGGAATTATTGCGGGAGGTTTATGGGGACGAAGCCCCATCGAAAACAAATGTGCACGTGTAGTTCGACCGGTTGAAGAAAAGACGTGAATCGCTGGAGAGCGACGAGCGCAGCGGGAAACCACCAACGAGCTGAATTGATGAAAAAGTGGAGAAAATTCGGGAGCTACTCAAGGGAGATCGCTGTCTGACCGTCAAATTGATAGAGGATGCCACTGGGATCAGTAAGTCTCAAGTACATCGCATTGTAACTGAGGATTTGAAGATGCGATAGATCTGTGCGCACTTTGTTTCGCACACGTTAACAGACGATCAAAAACAAGCTCGCATTCTTCATGTTCGAGACGTCATTTCGACCGCTCGGAAAGATCCAAACTTCTTGAAAACTATCATCACTGGTGATAAAACATTGCGTTTACAATACAAGTCACAAACTAAACGCCAGAGCTCGGAATGGAAGATTTTGAAACCAATACCAAAAAAAGTGCACATGCAAAAATCAAGAGTAAAGACAACGCTCATCACTTTTTTCGATTACAACGGGTTGATATATCGAGAGTTTGTCCCACCAGGCCAGACAGTCACCGGGGAATATTACTTAGACGTTATAAAGCATTTGATAAAAAGAATCAATCGGGTTCGTCTACAATACCGAGAACAAGGCATGGTCGCTTTTCCATGACAATGCGCTGGTTCACAAGTGCATCGCTGTGCACAATTTTTTAGCCTCAAAATCGGTCCAGGTCATTGACCAACCACCTTATTCTTTAGATCTGACACTGTGCGGCTATTTCCTAAACTCAAATTACAGCTGGAAGGGCAGTTTTTCGACAATATCTCTACCACTCAGAGAGTTTCGGCAGAAGAGTACCAGAAATGTTTGTCAAAGATTTCAGACCGATGCAATGCATGCGTTTCATCGGAAGGGATATATTTTGAATAATATTTAATAAAAGTTTCACTTTCTAGCAAACAAAGTGAGTTTCATTAAAAGTTCCAGAACTTTTGGGACACACTTTGTGTATGTAAGACGTAAGAGATTACATTACCTCTGGTAAGGTATCCGTGTACGTAAGATCATCTGTTTCGTCATTCAACTTCTCCTCTTTTTTCCTCCTATTTTTCTTTCTGTTTCGTGGCGAGCCACACAAGTCCGCGGTATCCCTCTCAGTGTCCGAGCCATCACTGAACGACGGACACTGCGACGTATCATCAAGCACTTGTAGTGTCTCCTGACTCTGCGGGTCGAATATTACAAATTCAGGCCTAATCTTGCTAATTCGTCTGCCCTTCAAAAGTGGCACAAGGCCGCCTAAATATTCTAGATAGAGTGTATAACACGGCATAGGTTCTATGGCATGTCTCAGCATCGTACAATGTAACCGGCTGCCTCCCGGCGGTGGCCTTGATACAAATCGACGCAACTCTTTCGGTTCTGGCACTGAATATCTGAAAAATATACGGAAGAATATCCAATTTTCTTCCCGGAATTTCTTTCGCAGTGAAACAAAGTTTTTCGTAATAATTTTTAAAACCTCTGTTTACCGTATTGTACTAGCGAAGAGAGCAGCCACTGAAGCTTTTAATCTTGGTGGTAACGGAAGTTGTTGCACATTGGACTCCCGCGCGAGGGCTGCTCTCACTGCTAATCTCGATAATAGTTGAAGCGAACCGACCCTTCTGCAAAAAACAATGTCTATTTTGTCACAATGATATATTATTTCGTTAGATCAACACAGAACAATACAAATATGCAAAAAATTAAAATTGTCTCACATATTCATTATTTATTAGTTCTTTAGATTCTTTAGATTAGATAATAAGTTACATCAATTAATTCGTATGAACATTGATGCTTTAATAATTTAATTTAAAAGAAACAGGAAAGTATAAACAACAAAGGCAGTCTCTTCCGTCTAAATTTTTTACTTTTCCACAAAAATGTTCTTTTAAAATTTGTTTCTCTCTCACCTTATGAAATCCCTATTGAATCATTTATTTCCTTATTCTAATCGTATTGCTTCTCTTATCGATCGATTTTCTTTATTCAATTTTCTTTATTTTCTATATTTTCTTTATTCAATTTTCTTTATTTTTTTTCTTCATTTTTTTCTTTGTTTCGATTATGGATTAGAAATTTTACAGAAATATCAGCTGCTTATTATCGTGAAATTATACAGAATGTTTAGTATAATAATTCACACGATTTTTCAAATATTTCTTTTTTCGCGATCTGGCTTGCCTGACGAAATATTTCCTATCGTCGATTAAAATGGATCACCTTGTATACTTTTTTAACCCATTAAGGCCCATCCTTAGACCAGTAGAGATATGAAAAAAGTAACTATTGGGTTTCTAGCATGGGCACTGACTGATGCTTCAAATTAGTTGAAAAAAAATTTTTTTAAACAAATTGTAAACAAATGAAGCAAAATTAATTTTTTTTATTTGTTTACAACAATTTATTTGTCATTTTTTAACAAGAAATGAAGCGAAAAATCGAAAATGTAACACATGTTTCTTTAGTGATTTTTCCCGTAAAATCGATCGCCGTGGTTAGTTTCTTGGAAAAAATAATTTTTCTTAATTTGTTTATAACATTTTGTTTAAAAAAATTTTTTTTCAACCAATTTGAAGCACCAATAACTATTGCTAGGGCTTATGCCAGAAACCCAATAGTTACTTTTTTCATATCTCTACTGGTCTAAGGATGGGGCCTTAATGGTCTTAATGGGTTAAAAAGTATATAGGGTATCCATTTTAATCGACGATCAGAAATATTTCGTCAGGCAAGCCAGATCGTGAAAAATGTTTCAAATAAAAGCTGTAGGAGTCAATAGGAGACACACACTGATGGCTTTAACTTTGACCTTGAGGTCAATTTTCAAGGTTATCTGAAGGTCAACTTTGATTTTTCAAATAGGAATCATTATTTTTGACTCCAGAAATGAAAAGAGCGGAAAATTTTACGTTCATATAGGTAAATTATGATAGGAGTCCCTGACATGACATTTAAAGGTTATTTTAAAGCCAAATACGTATTTTTTATCAATACCTTCAAAAAACTTGTAACGTAAAGGTGGTACTAAAAAATGTCGTCAACAAAAGTTGTACAAGTAAAGGAGGTCGTCCACTGATGACCTTAACTTCAATTTTCAGATCAAATTTCAAAGTCTGTGATTTTTTCAAGTGAAAACCTCCAATTTTGACACCAGAAATGGCAAGTGTGGAAATTTATTTAATTCTGATACATTATTCTGATACATTATTTTCCTGGTACATTGAAATAGTAATAGAAAATTGCAGAAAAGTTTTTTCAAATAATGGCTGATTATCCTCTGAATGAAATTGTTGATATGATTCAGATTTTAGGAGAATGTGGTGAAAATCACGTAGCAGCTGCAAGACTTTACGCACGACGTTATCCAAACAGATGTCATCCCAATAATACCACGATACGAAATCTTACTGCAAGGGCTCGTAATGGACATTTAGTTCGTGAACGTCCTTGTCATGATTACGGTGTTGTGCACGTTCTTATAGTACTTGCAATTATCCATTTAAATCCTTACATCAGCAGTCGCTAAATACAAAGGCAAACAGGTATACTTTGAACAACGGTATTGAGAATTTTAAGGACAAGGCAGTATTACGCTTATCATATCACACTCACGCAAGCGTTAACACCGAATGGTAACACGGGAAGAAAATGAAGGTTTACAAATTTTTGCCGAATGTAGCGCCATCTATCAGGAATCGAAAAAAAAGTTTAGACAAAATTTACGTGTATTTGGACGTAGAATCCGAATCTGTGATAAAAAGTAAAGATTCCCATTTAAGATATCAAAGTTATCCTCCGCCCCACCCCCAAGGGGGGCCTAAGGCAGCAAAGAATTTTGCGGGATAGAATTGCCCCCTCGAAAATGTTTAGAGTTTATTTGGAACATTTTTTTCGTACAATACTTATTTTTCCGGATATTTTGCAGTCGCAAGTTAAAAAACTCACCTTGTATTGATAGAAGGGTTAAAGAAGGAAAAAGATAGAAAGGTATCGTACTGATTAGGCAATTTTTGGCAATCCTTTGGTACATGTATTAAAATGTACCAAACTGTACCAGGATGTTTTCGCGTATTTGATAGAGGCATAGTTTACCGTTTTGATATAACTTTGGTTGATACCATGTTATACTCTGTTCGAGAGCAGGATAGTTTTCCAAAGTCTCTAGTACCAGAGAGAAATCTGAGAGCGGCCACTGGGCCGGTTACGCCCAGTGGGCTAGAACGCTTTTTCTGCGTTCCTGAAAAAATGTGTGCACACTACATCCGTCCTGATGGTAACGACAAAGCGTACACTGTTCTTGCTCACTTTACTTCCTTATAAGAGATAGTAAGTTAGATAAGCACAGACGATCAATCGCTCTCCGTCTTTGTCGCACCAACAATGAGCGGACCGCGCGGCAGGAATAGGCACGAGGCGTGTCAGCGACAGATCTTATCGTTAAGCTAGAATCTTTCCCATCTTACCCCTTCGCCTTTTTATCTTTCATGCACTGCCTGCGATTCGGGAAGAAATATTTCGAGACCGCGCGGACAAGTTCTAACAATGACACAAAATGACGCCAATGGGGATGGCCATATTTATAATTTTTATATTCAATTTTATAATTTTCATATTCAGTTATGAATATACACATATATATGCGTTATAAATGTTAATATGTAATAATTATTATATTTGAGTTATTATTAATATTAAATAATTTTATTAACACTAATAATTTAAATGATGTCAATAATTTGAGATACTCATCTTCTCGCAAAAAAATTGACATCCATCTGATTTCGAAAAGATTTCTTTGAGATTTTTACGAGTTAGCGTGCAAAATTATACAATGAATTGTTAAGTGTTTGCAGGAGAAAAGTGAATAGTTTAATACTTTAATCTGATGTTGTTCTGTCTTTGATGTTTTAATGTAAAAAGTATATGTTTTCAATAGAACGTCCTACTCATAATGCACGAATAATTCAAAATTATCTCCAAGATATCTTTACAAATCATATTAATCATATACATATAAATCAGCACAATGGTCAGCTCGTTTCTCAGATTTATCTCTGATGAATTTCTTTTTATGGGAATATCTTACAAACTCTTGTGTATCAAACATGAATTAATAATGTTCAAGATCTTTGAGAAAAAATAATTACAGCTTGCGCGATTTTGGATTCAAATAACTACTATATATAGTAATTTGTTAAATAAAGCAGGACTTTATATTGCAGAAAGAAGCAAGCAATTTAAACATTTGCTTCCACGGGTTAGAGTTTTTTTTATTATTTTTATATTGTTATTAATAGAAGTAATTTTCTAATAGTGCGTTAAATTCATCTTAGCTTTCCATAATATTATATAAAAAAGATTGCATGATTGCTATTTAAGAAATTCAAAGTGACTTTGATATTTTTATAAAGAAAATTTCTTTCTAAACTGTATAAAGCAAATGAACATACATTTTAAAACCTCTTCTTTAAATCATCAGAAGTGTATAAAATATTGTGCATACCATTACGCTGAATACTTTGTATAATCGACGAAAGTCGAGGTACATGAAGGTAAGAAATTACCTGGAAACCCACGCTGCATGAACACGCGTCCCGGTCGCTACAAAGAGTCGCCTATCGTTATGTCCCCACGTTAATGCCGATACTGGGGACTACAAAAACCATGCGGAGAATCATAAAATAAATTATTCAATTATAACGAATTAGGAGTAAATAATAGCTTTTTCTGACATACTTGCGTATACGGAATCGTTGTCGTATATACGAGGGTACCATTAACCGAATAGAATTTCAAGAGATTCGTGTATTCTTGTAAATTATTCTGAAGAATGTCGGTCTCCTTTGTGCCGGCAATGGCCAACAGTTTTCTAGAGTTGCTCCACTCGGCGTACAAGGGCGTCTTTAGCTTGCTGTGTATCGTGATCGGCGATACGTCGTCAAATGAGCGCAGCATGACAATGTTTCCATCAACAAGACAAACGGCCAACACGTAACCTCGATCATCTGTGCTTCCACACATATATAAATGTATTAGCATGTCTCAATAGTTCGCCTCAAGTTCGGGGCATGGATATTCCATACTTTCCTTAAAAGAGCTACGATTAATACCTTTCTGAGACCGGTCGCTTGTCATATCGTCGTCTCCTTCCTCCATCGTAAATTTTTCGGCACTCCAAGCCATCGATGTAACGCCAGCCCCCAGTTGTATTTCTGATACCATAGCTCCGTGAACGTCCATCACAATTAGCTGTCCCGCAGTCGTCCCAAAATAGACCTTTGTTAACAAGCAACGTTAAAAATGAATAAAATTTTATTAATGTATCCATTCTTGATATATCTGCATTATGGAGACATCAAATCTTTAATTAACCGAAGACATCCTCATTGACGATAAAAGAATAAATTTTCAATATTTTATGACTCTATGTTAAGTTTAGTTTAATATCGCTTCCGATTTCTGACGCGTTCCAATCTAGTCGATTTTACCAACAATAAACCAACAGTAAACTTTTACATTAAAAGACCCATCTTCTATGACCTTGATTTTCACATATATTAGGTGTACAAATAAATAATCCAAAATTTTTTAAGCGTCTAAGAAATTAAATTTCAAATAATCAAAATTTCCCGCTCTTTTACGGTTATGTAGTGTTGACATGTAGCTATTAAAAATTAGATTTAGTATGGCAGAAGGCACAACATAACGTTAAAAATTATTTAGTTCAGTACAGTGAAAAATGGCAACAGATAAGGTGCATATCCGACACTGTATTCTTTACGAATTCCAACAAGGAAAAAATGCTACAAGAGCATGTGAATTGATTTGTTCCTTTCTCGGTTAAGGTGTTGTATCGTACGATATGTGTGCATTTTGATTTAGACGGTTTAAAAGCGGCAATTTCAGTTTGAGCGACAAAGAACATCCCGGACGCCTTCGAAAGTGCGGCAACAATGATGTGGAGCAACTGCTTCCTGCGAACTAAACACAAACACAAAAAGAACAGTTAATAGTAACGCAACAAACTATTTTCAAACGCTTACACGAAATGGGGAAGATTCAGAAAGAGGGAAAATAAGTTCTGCATGAGTCCACTGAAACCAGTAAAAATCAACGAGTGACAATGTATCCTTCTCTTCTTAATAAGCAGCGTAGAAAGTCTTTCTTGTGGAAAATTGTTACGGACGATGAGAAGTGGATATTCTATGACAATCCGAAACGCAGAAAGTCATGGATAAATCCCGGCGAGCCATCAACATCGGTCGCAAAGCCAAAACACTTCGGAAAGAAAATTCTGCTTTGCATTTGGTAGGATATAGAAGGGCATAACTTACTATGAACTATTAAAAACGAATGAAACAATTACTGCGGACGGCTACTAACACCAATAAATCCGTTTGAATGAAGAATTAGAACGAAAACACCCGTATAGTGGCACAGGAGAACATCATAATTTGACCTGTTGAACACGAATCTGAAGTCAAAAGTGGGGGTTGCTGAGGTTATTTTATCTTTAGAGCAAAAAACCGGTGAAAAAAACGAAAAAACACTTTTTTGATGTAACTGCGATGCATCATCAGAAGTAGCCGGCCGATTAAAAGAGACAGGTTTATTCTCAAGCATTTCAACTTGCTGAACACGAATCTGAAGTCAAAAGTGAGGGTTATTGCGATTATTTTGTCTTCAAAACCAGAAAAACTGTCAAAAACATATTTTTCTTTTCACATTTTTTTAACTGTCATATATCATCAAAAGTAGTCGGCCGATTGAAAAAAACAAGTTTATTCTAAAATATTTAAATACGAATCTGAAGTTAAAAATGAGGGTTATCGTGGTTATTTTGCCTTCAGAACCACAAAAACTGTTGAAAACACACGATTTCTGATGTAAGTGCTATGTATCATTAGAAGGAGTCGGCCGATTGAAAGAGACAGGTTTATTCTTGAGAATTTTGACTTGTGAAATAAAAATGGGACTTATTACGGTTATTTTGCATCTATAACTTATATTGGTTTGCGCCTTCGTTCACGTTTGTCTTCAAATGACTTGTGTAAGGGATTTCTATGTCGTTTCTGTCCTTTTGTCCGGGTTTTTCTCTTCAGCATCCAGCAAAAATCAGCCATTATATTAATGTCCCATCTTCCTTGATATCGACGCTCTATTTCTTTCATATCCTGATGGAATCTTTCACCTTGTTCTTCACTACAATCTCCAAGATTTTCTGTAAAGCTGTCGAGATGAAAATCAAGAAACTGTAGTTTCAAATTCATTAGACAACCTAATTTTTGAAAGTTCTCTATCATATTTTCTATTATTCTTTTGTAGTCTTCATCTTTATTATTCCCCAAAAATTTTGTTGCGACATTTTTAAAACTAAGCCATGCTACCTTTTCCTGCTCATTCATAGTAGTAACGAAATTTTCATCCCTAAACAATTTGCGAATTTGCGGGCCATCAAAAATACCATCCTTTAATTTGGCTTTAGATACATTACTTGTCCTAAATATTCGAAACATTTGCCCTTTGTTGAGAGCTTTGACGAATTGTTTCATCAAACCAAGTTTGATATGAAGAGGAGGAAGGAGAATTTTAGAAGGCTCTATTAGTGGCTGATGTACAATGTTCCCTGAACCAGGTTCGAGTGATGATCTTGCTGGCCACTGTTTTTTTATGTAGTGATTCTTTCTATCTATATCGAACATACACAGATAACATGGGTACATAGTAAAGCCCGATTATTGTCCTAGTATCATGGACAAAATTTTCAGATCTCCGCAAATTTGCCATCTATGTTCTTGATATTTGATTTTATTCAAGACCATTTCAATGTTACAATATTCTTCCTTAAGCACAGTTAAATGTGCTATCGGTAAAGAAGCATACTTGTTTATATTGTGGAGTAACACTGCCTTTAGGCTTCGTTTGGAAGAGTCAATAAATAACCTCCATTCATTACATTTGTATATATTAGGCTTTAATTCATCAATCAGTCCTTTAACATTCGAGCGATAAACTAAATTGGAATCTTGCGTGAAATATTTTCGAAAATCTTTTTCTCGCTCTCGATAAAATGAAGCTTTAGTGTTCGTCACTAACAAACTTTTCTTCTTCATTTCTGAGGCCATGTAAACACTCAAGCGGAACTCAATGATCTATTTAGAAAAGTTGGACTAGCCAAAGATACAGCTGAACTCATGGCCTCAGAACCGAGTTTTTAATAATTGATTTGAAGAACGGGTAATGGCAAGTAAAATTCCGAGAAGAGGATAAGGAAAAGATAGCTTTTTCTTTGGGGAGTTAGGTTGTGGCAATTTACTGTCATGCCATTTGGATTATACAATGCTCCGACGACCTTTGAGCGAATGATGGAAAAGATTTTACATGGACTTTTATTTAAGATTTGTCTTGTTTATTTAGATGATGTAATTGTTTTCAGTCCGACGTTTCAAGGAATCATGGAGAATCTTTGTGAGGTATTTTCAAGGTTAAGGAAAGTCAATTTGAAGATTAACCTTAAAAATATATTTTGTTTAGCAAAAGTGTAACTTTCTTCGGTCATATAATTTCTGAGAAGAGAATAATGACGGATCCACAAAAGATCTCTGTAATGGCGAAATGGTCTGTCCCCATGATCAAGAAGCAAGTTTGGAGTTTTCTTGGTTTCTGCTCTTATTATCGAAGATTTGTTAAAGGATTCTCGTTGATTGCAAAACCCTTGTATACATTGACAGAGAATTTAATTAAGTTTTCATGGACTGAGCAATGTTAACAAACTTTTGAAAATCTTAAATGAGCATTGATTACTCCTCCAATTCTTTCCTTTCCTTTGGAAAATATGGAATTTATCCTCGACATCGATAATTCAGGCCATGGGATCGGTGCTGTTTTATCGCAAGTTCAATATGGAACTGAAAAAGTTCTAGCTTACTACCTGGTATAGCCGAGTGCTAAGTAAAGCAGAGCGAAATTATTGTGTAACGCGGAGAAAATTATTAGCAATTGTAGATTCTTTGAAATTTTTCCATCATTATCTTTATGGACAGAAATTTATAATTGGAACAGATCACCAATTCCTAAAATGGCTGCTGTTATTTAAAAACTTGAAAAGGCAACTTGCTCGATGGATTGAAAAGGTATAACAATACGATTTTAAGATTGAATATCGAAAAGAAAGCGCGAACAAGAATGCCGATGGACTTTCTCGTTGACCTTGTAAAGAGAACCCTTGTAGTTATTGTATAAGAGTGGAGTCAAGAGAGACTATGAATAGTAAAGAGATATTGGGACGAATAATTTTTGGGGAGAGTAATTCTATTGACTGGAGGAAAGAACAATTGGAAGATTTATTTCTTTTATTTTGCTTGGAAAGGAGCAGCAACAACGACCGCTTTAGCAAACTACTTCTCCAAAAATTTTACGAAAATTTACTGGTCCTATTGGGATTTATTGATTTTGAGGGATGGAGTCCTTTATAAGAAATGGGAGAGTCCTAATCTTAAATCGCATATTCTTCAGGTTATCGTTCCTCAGAATAGGATTAAGGAAGTTTTAAGGGAGGCTTATGATTCTCCATCCGGTGAACATTTTGAAGTCAACAAAACCTTAGATAAGATTCGGAAAAGATTTTATTGGGCGACCTGCAAAAAGGATGTCGACAATTGGTGTAAGTCATGCAAAATTTGTGTTGCGAAAAAGGGCCCTGCTGATAAAGGAAAGCCTCCTTTGCAGATTTATAATGTTGGATTACCGCTGGAGAGGCTCTAGATGGACATTCTTAGGCCTCTTCCAACTACTTTTTCGGGAAATAAGTACTTGTTGGTAATTGCAGATTGTTTTTCCAAATGGGTTGAAGCCTTTCCTGTTAAGAATGTAAGAGCTTCTACTGTGGCGGATGTATTTGTGAAGCAATTTATTTCCAGACATGGAGCCTTTGGAGCTCCGCACAAATCAGGGCAGAAGTTTTGAATCCCGATTATTGCAGGAGGTTTCAAGGTTAATGGGAATTGGGAAGACACGCACTTCCGCGTTACATCCGCAGTCTGATGGCCAAATGGAGAGACAACATTTTACTATTGTCAATTATTTGTCTTAATTTATTTCTAAAAATCAGAGGGATTGGGATCAGTGAATTCCGATGTTTCTTCTCGCGTATCGATCTTCACAACATGAGTCCACCGGAATTTTGCTAGCTGAGGTATATTTAGGTCGAGAACTCAGGTTGCCGTTTGATTTATTGTGCGGAATTCCTCCTTCTGAGACAGAGATGACAAATAATTATTGCCATCAACTTCAAGAGAAATTAGATTCAATTCATGAAGTCGCTAAGCAAAATTTGTTTAAAAAATCTATGTCTTTCAAATTTCGTTACGATCAGGGCGCTAAGAAGTGTCATTTTGCTGAGGGAAGTAAAGTTTGGTTTTATAATCTCCGTCGTAAAGTGGGAAGAGCGCCAAAACTATAATCACATTGGGAAGGTTTTAAAGTCGTTAAGAAATTAAGTGACGTGGTATATTGTATTCAGAAATCGAAAAAATATAAGAAGAAAATAGTTCATTCTGATAGATTAGCTTCCTTTCACAAACGAGCGATTTAACATTTTTTTTTAAGTCTGAGCCCGATATCAGGCAATATTTGAAAGATGAAGATTCATTAATTCTCTTTGTTTTTCAGAAACAACGTTTTTCACTTTGCTTTTCCCAGATTCGTTGTCCAGCTTGATGAAATTTTATCTATCTTCAACAGACTAAGAAGACTACCTTACTCACGGTTTTTGATCGTGGTTTTCCCGTGAGTCTTTCGGAAAAAAAGGGCGAATGCCAAGGTAGGAACTCAGGAAGTTCTCACTGAGAATGGATGAGTTCATGGAAATTCCCCCCCCCCTTGTTTGAAGACCGATGTCAAGAAGAAGGCGAGGTTCGACAAAAAACTTCGGTCACTCCTAGGAACGTCTTGGAAACTGATCACCTCCTGGAGGACGTATTTGAAGCGGACGCACTTCTTAATCGGGAATAGAAATTTATGGAGTCCGCAAAACTTGCAGCAGCAGCTCAGGACAGGACAAGGTCCATGAAGTTCCTTGGATTAAGAAGAGGACAACTTCCATGAATTGTCGGGACGACAATTTCAGAGAGAAGAGGAGTAATGTATCCGAGCCACCGTATGTGTGGCAACGTCGGCTGTTCGCGGGCTTGAACCGGCGGCATCGATTGAGAAATTGACAGGCGATCAGCTGGGCAACGAGGGAATAAATAACAAAAAGAAACAGAGGAGGTCGAGCACGAGCCGTCGACACAGGCTGACGTGCAGCGTTCAGAGTCGGCTCTATCTTTACAATTTACGCGCGGGAGAGTTCATGGCTGTAAGGTTTCGCTGTATATAAAACTTTTCGTCTCCAACCCAATATAAAGTTATTTCTTTCCGCGCGGCGGAGTTTGTCTCGCGTTTGCACAACAATATTCAATTTTCAACAATCTGTGGAAAACGACTTCCGCGATTTCATCGTCACTCGCTCTTCAGGCTTTTTCGCTGTTGATATGAATAAGCTACCGTTAAGATGGCAGAATTGTGTCGATAGTTTAAGCGCATACTTTGATTAATTTTACTATTTCTGGTTTGAGATGTAATGAACCAAACTTTTGTTTCGAAATCGAACATTTCATACTTAATGACCTAATATATTATATTATCTAATATATTACCGCGAAATAAATGAATTTCTACGAATCAGCAAGAAGAAAAGTCGAAAATAATCTAAATCGTGAAATGCCAAATTTATGTGTCGATGGTTGGTTGACGATTATGTTCCACTATATCTAAAAGTGTTTTCAAACCTGTTGGTCATCTGGAGTCCATATGCCACAAGTTATCGTTGCTTTATCGTTGAGCATCGACGACCAATACCTCTGACCAGCTACACTGCCCACCAAGACAAAACCATCCTGCAGAAAATAATACATTCTTTGTTACGTCATTCTAGATCGGTGTTTTTCAACCTTTTTTATCTCATAGCACACATGAACCTATAATTAAACTTCCGCGGCATACCTAAATTATAATGATTAGAAAAAAAATATAAAAAATTACTTTTTTGATTTATTTATTAACACAAACAAAATGCATGTTATAATTTGTAATAAAAAGATAATAATTAAAATTCTTAAACATTTTCGCAGCACATCTTAAATCTTCTCACGGCACATCAGTGTACCGCGGCACATCGGTTGAAAATCACTGTTCTAGATGATTCTTCGGAGAAACACGTGGAACATTTATTATTTAGTGAAGTTGTAAATAAAATGCGTTTAAAGCGCAACACGACCAAAGTGCATTTTTAACTGAACAACGATATCAATAAAAAATATATATTTATTCATTATGACCAATTTATTAAAAGAAAGCAGAGACTTTTTCGCCTCTTTATAATATTTGAATGTTGTTATTCGTGTCAAAAAATCATTGTTGTCACTTTGTAAAACTAATGCTTACTCTGTAACATATGAGCGCCATGCGTCCGTCGTGGGACCAAGAAAAGTGTGTAACAGGAGTACTCCTATCATTGATTAATTCTATACTCCATCGTCCTTCGTATTTGATCCAGACGAAGATTACACCGGAACTGTCGCACGTGGCCAACTTCTGGTAAGGTTCATTCCATTTTACGAGTATCACCTGCGATCATATAATAAATGTTACGTGGTAGAACTGAAAATCGCTAATTATGGCTAAAGTATTTTTTAATGTAGATGTAATCTATGATAATAATGCAGATGTAAATATCATATTTGAATATTGTGTATTGAGGAATTGTACGAATTTTTGGAGTTTTTTATGCCATGTTGACAAGTTTATCCCAATTTGACAAAATAATACTTTCTTTTAAGATTTGTGTAGGATCAATGACATAGTTAGGATATTTGGAAAGAATATGGTTTCAAGCGTGAAAAGGACATAGTTTCAAGGGGGAAACTTTTACTTAAAAAATTTGATATTTTTTATTAAAAAGATTGTTAAAGTGTTTAATAGAGGGAAACTTTGTAGAACCAGTTTCTAGTATTTTTCCGTCTATTGTTGGATTTAATTGGATAGAATTTGATTGTGAATATATCATTTATGATTGTCCGTATATTATATGATTTAATGTATTCTATAAGTTAGATCAGAAGAGAGACGAGAGAAAAATTAAAATAGAATTGAAAAAGTTTCTAAGAAAGGAGGAAAAGTTAAAAAAAGTTGATTTTGGCTAGCCAAAAACTTGCAATTATTGATTATTTTAGGCAAATCACACCTCCGTACGGTTCCTTATAAGTAATTCTTATAACGGTGCATAGAAAGAGCAACTTTAAATGATAAAAATAAAGTCATTGTTGTATACAGCACTAGTCGTATAGAAGCACGCTCAGCGAGAGCGCGCTGCGCCTGACGCCGCGTTTCTGATTTCAGCGGTTCTGATTTCAGCGTATGGCGACCGTTTGCTCTTCTATAGTAACATTATAGTATATTCTCATTGAGTACTCAATGAAAAATTACTTTTGTTCTTGAAATTGCATATCAACCAGTGTGAAGCAAGTCAATAAACGACACTTTGCCTTATCTGTCTCTTAATTCTTCAGATTACTTTTATATATTATAGATTCATGATATTCCGTGCACGGTCTTTTTTCAAGTGATTAGAGCAACGTTTGGGCATAATAAATATTTTTCTGAGGAAATGGATATGGCGGAAGTGGATATGTTATTTTAATATACCTCTGAAATTGAGTTACTGACCAATAGTTATAAAAGGAATTGACTACAAGAACTAGATATCGCTATAAATGTTATATGTTGAAAATATCAAACTTTGACACTTTTTGGTGATATTTTAACAAATATATAATCATGTGTGAGTAAAAATAGTAATATGAATCAATTGCAACTGTCAGAATTAAAATTATAAACGAGTATATAATATATAAAAGTATTAGGTCATTAAGTATGAAATGTCCGATTTCGAATCAAAAGTTTGGTTTATTATATCTCAAACCAGAAATAGTAAAATTAATCAAAGTATGCGCCTAAACTATTGATACGGTTCTACTATCTTAACAGTAGCTTATTCATGTCAGCAGCGAAGAAACCTGAAGAAGAGCGAGTGACAATGAAATCGCGGAAGGTGTTTTCCACAGCTTGTTGAGAATTGAATATTTTTTTCTTGCAAGAAGTGGTCCAATGCCTGGAAGAAATGGTAGTCAGTTGGTGCAAGGTCTGGTGAATATGGTGACAGAGAGTTTCAAAGTCTAGCTGCTGTAATTTGAGCAACGTTGTTTATGCGGCATGGGGTCGAGCGTTGTCTTGCAAGAGGATTGGTCTGTCTCTATTGACCAATCTCGGCTGGTTAATCGCAAGCATCCTCATCATTTCGTCCAGTTGGTTACAGTGGACATCCGCTGTAATCGATTGACCAGGTTTCATGAAGCTGTAGTGGACAATACCAATGCTGGATCACCAAACAGACACCATTAGCTTTCTTTTGTGAATATTCGGTTTCGGACTGTGTTTCAGCACTTCATCTGTATCCAACCATTGTGCCGAACACTTGCGATTGTCGAAAAGAATCTATTTTTTATCACACGTAATAATACAATATAAAAATGGTTTGCCTTTATGTCGTGATAATAAAGAAAGGCAAGCTTCGAGACGATTTCTCTTCTGACGCTCGTTTAATTCATGCAGAACCTATCTATCCAGCTTTTTTATCTTGCCGATTTGTTTTAAGTGATCCAATATCGCTGGAATAGTAACGTTAAACCGTACTTTTAATTCACACGTAGTTTGAGATATATCCGCTTCCATTACAGCTTTCAGCTCATCATTATCTACCTTGGTCTCGGGTCGCCCACGTGACTCATTTTCAAGATTAAAATCGCCAGAACAAAACTTCTCAAACCATCGATGTACTGTGCGCTCATTAGCCACATCTTTATCAAACACTTCGTTGATATTTCGAGTTGTCTGCGCTGCATTGGTTCCACGATGAAACTCATATTCGAAAATAACACGAATTTTTAGCTTATCCATGGTTACGCAAAGATTGCTGTAGACATTTCGAACAAAGACATTTCGAAAGATAATCACAAACTAAAACATGCGTTTGAAAGAGTGATGATGTACCTTCACAAGAAAAAAAAACCAAGAACTATAACGGTGAAGTGTCAGAGATATCGACTGTCGAACTTAGTACTTAAGGAAATTGGACATTTCATATTTAACGACCTAATAATTCTGAAGAATTAAGCGATAGATAAGAAAGTGTCGTATTGACTTGCTTCACACTCGGTGATATACAATTTCAAGAACAAAAGAAATGTTTCATTGAGAACTCAATGAGAATGTATAGTGTTATTATACATTATACGAAAAAACAATCCGCCATATGCCGATGACCAGAGACGCGGCGTCAGGCGCAGCACGCTCTTACTGAGTGTGCTTCCGTGCGTTTACTTGTACCGTACGCAGCAATGACTTTATTTTTATAATTTAAAGTTGCTCTTTCTATGCACCGTTATAGGAATTACTTATAAGGAACCGCACGGAGATATGACTCGCCTAAAATAATCAGTAATTGCAAGTTTTTGGCTAGTGGCACTTTTTACTATATTCAGGCCATTCTTGCAATGTTCCTATCACTGGTCGGATAAATGATTGTTATTTCCTGTCATCTGAGGACCCAAACAATGATTTTTCAAGGTCTCCAATCACTTTTCCCTTGGGGCCAAAATCGACACTTTTTTAACATCTTCCTTTGGGAGATACAGATTTTCATATAAGAAATATGTTCTTTTACAAGTAGAAGTCCATTTTTTTCCTTATTTTTTGTAAGATGTGCAAAGTCTTCATTACTTACGACTAGGACTAGCATTTAAAGCAAACTTAACAAATTAAAATGTACGCTCCAATAAAACGGATAAAAAAAAGGACAAGATAGACAATGTTAAAGAAACACCAAAACAAAATAATGTTTGCGGAACAAACCATACTATAAAAAAAAGACCAAAACAAAACTAAGACAGAATAACGTTTGAAGAATAATTTATATCATAAAAATAAACAAAAGTCTCAAAAATACCAATCACTTTCTTTTACCTTGTACCACAAGTAGAAGAAGTTGTATATAAAATTGGTAGAATATCAACGAAATATAATATAAAAACCAGGTACAAACCTCCAACAAAAATAGAATATTTTCTTAATAATCTAAAGAACAATATATCTCCACTAAACGTATTAGAAATTTATAAAATTCATTGTATTGCATGCGTACATAAACAAATACACACACACGTATACATGTGATAATTATACAAGGTATCCGATAATTTGCTACCAACCCGAAGTGTGAAGGTAGATTAGGTTAAGACAAACCAAAAAATCCCATATCGTTTTGCGAGATTCGTAATAATTATCGAGTTATTAATGACAGAAATTTGAGGAGTGAGCACACGTCGACATGGATGATTGGAGAAACGTTGCATCTGCTCAGGTCACAGCGCGGCCCAATTGATCTTGCAACTGTTGCGGTGCGCGGCGAGAGAAAGAACAACGCACTGCAATTCGTTGTTTTATCTCGTTGTACTTACATTTCGCCGTATGCCACCAACAATTGGTCGACTAGGCCACGCTAACCCAAGAGGCTGCGACCTTTCTCCAATCATCTATCTCGCGTGCTCATTCGTCAGATTTCTGTAATTAATAACTCAATAATTATTGCGAATCTCGCAAAACGGTATGGGACTTTTATATTTGTCTTGACAGCTATGTTGATAGCTAATTATCGGACATCCTGTATAATCTATGTAGGAGAACCTAGAAAAATGGTTAACTCATATAAAGAAACATCAAATTACACATCAGTCAGGCTGAAATATTTAACACAATTTATATTAATAGAACATCACATAGAAACAAGACACTTAACTTTATTTATCTACCCTTACGGAAAAAACTAATATTGAGTATCTACACTCAATTATTCGAATTTCTCAAATATTAGTGTATATACTGAAATTTGAATATACTATATAACTACATTTGAGAGTAAATTCGAATAATTGAGTGTAGATACTCAATATTTGAGTATTTTTTCTGTAAGAGTATCTATTTATCTAATACTATTTATTTATCTATACTATTTATCTAATATTATTATCTATATTATTTATCTAATACTATTTCTTTATCTAATACTTAATTTTAGCCAAAACGATACTTCCTTCTCTCGAAAATGTAAAAAATATCTAATTTACAAATATTTAAATAATCTAAACAGACAACGATATGCAATTCCATTTAACATGGAAATTTATACTTCCAGTTTTAAAAAATACAGTACATACTTCTACTATACATCCTTTTCACTTTCTCTCACCAGTTATCTAACATGCACTTAGTTTTTGAAACGTATATACAGGGTGGGGAAATAACTATTAGGACCTTAAATAACTTCGAATCTATAAGGCCTAGAGGAAGATTTGTGTAACCAAAATTGCACGGTACGAAGGGGGCTATCATATAGCGTTAATAATTTTTGTCCAGGTGGAAGTGCTTCGGAGATACCAAGGTCATCTTTATTTTTTTAAATGATATGTCCGATATGTTCTTTTTCCATAATATAATAGAGGAGCTCGAAACAA